TGAGATGATATTTGGGTTTCTTCCTGCAATAGGTGTTAGTGAACAGATGAGGCAATTCAATTAGCCATAACTTTTCAGTCTTCCTTGGGTTGGGGGCAGCTTTTAATGAGATCAGTTCTCCCCAAATCAAATAATTTAATCATGGCAGTTAAGGCAGCAGTGGACAGAAGAACGTCTGGCTGGAGCAGATAACTGTACCACAGGACTTGAAGTAGATTGTAGCCTCCTTGCACACAGCATTTACCAAAAGTGGAGCTGAACTTTGAGAGCCTTGGTCACAAAATTGCCAGCTTGGTCCTTGGTATCCTCATGGCCATAACTTTTGCCCAGCTCTGTCAGTAAGGGGAGCTGATGCTTGATGAAAGTAAGCAAGATGCAAATGACCCTTGAGCCTCATTGCAGAGAGCTGGATGCAGAGTATGGGGGAGATGAGGTCATTTCATCCCAGAGGATCTTGTGAGGGCTGGATCTCCTCACACTGGAGTCAGTGGCTGTTTCTGACCCTGTCTGTTCTGTCTTCTGCTGACTGTGGCTGCTTTGCTCTTTGCTTGCACAAGTGAGCAGAAGTGAAGTGGACTGCAGAAGGGATAACATCCCCAGATGTCCCCAAGAGTCCTGCTGTCTCTGTGTTGCAGCCCTTTCTCTGTCCTTCCGGCCACGGGAGCTCTGGCCGTCGGTGACGCCGTGCAGGTGACAGTGGGATTTCAGCCACTGAAGACCGGTGACTGTTCCGCATCCCTTGTGGTGCACTACGACACAGGTGAGAGCTGGGCACTGCCGAGGGCACTCTCTGCATCCCTCAGAGCAGAGCCCTTTCTAAGCAGAAAGGCTGCTGTGGCCATGGGTTTAAAGAGGGAGATGATGATAGTTTTCATGGTGTTCCTTTTGTAGTTATCTTGTTTGTAGTCATATAGTTTGCCATCTTGATCTTTGTAGAGATCCATAGAAATGCCATTTCTAGAGAGCATGTCTGATATTTGTTGTTTACATCTGGCCTGGGAAACACTCGGCTACTCACCTGCAACAGGAATGATGAGCTTGAAGTCTGAGCTCAGATGAATCCCAGGAGTTGGTTGGGAATAATGAAGGTTTGAAAGCTCTGGAAACGAGGGAGCCTTTGGTAGGGGTCTGTTCTAGAGGGTGAAATGCTGGCAGGCTGTTCAGGACATCCTCCTGCTGTGCAGATGCAGCTCTCAGCTTGTGATAAATGTACTGATCCATGGAGCTGCTCACTCAGCTAAAAGCTGTGACAGTTTTTTCTATTACCTGTGGTTCGCTGTGTTCCTTGTGCTTCCATCAACCAGCGAGCTGAGCAAAGACTGCCCTTTGCTTTGTTCCAGGTGAAGACACCCACACAAGCCTTCATGGAAGAGCTGTGGATGCCCACATCAGGCTGGACCAGTACACTGTGAGCTTTGAGAAGACGTACGTCAGCCTGTCAAACCACACAGCTGTGCGCATCCACAATATGAGTGACATCACAGTCTGCTTCCAGTGGAAGGCTGTTGACAGTGGGCAAGAGGAGGATCAGCTGGAGCTGAGGTAGGTTTGAAAGATCCATTTCAGTGACATCCATTGCCCAAGGGTAAAATAGCATACAGCCTCAGGAGATTTCAGGAGGATGCAGGGTGCTTTTGAATGGCTTAGGGTTAAGTAAAGCATCCCATCTCCACCTGCCTCCCCCAAGCAGCTGTGTGTCAGGAAAAGCTGCCTGAGGTTGCTGGTGGATTCTTCCTCAGCTGTGACAGAGGCTTTGAGCCAGGAGGTTCTCTTGAGGGCTGCTGCCTTTGGAAACCTCTCCTGAGCCTGCAAGTGTGGACTGAACAACAAGTGACCCTCTGATCCATTTGGGACCCCATGGCTCAGGGTCAGCCCTTTGCTGAGGA